AAAAGTTATATAAAAAAAGTATCGCACATTACAGCTTTCCTATAAATCAAAAATATTATTTTAACAAATAAAAGTTGTCCAAAAACAAATAGTTAACACATAATGTAGTAACACATGAGATCGTACAAGTTGTCAAGTATTTGATTAGACAAAAATATTTTATTTGAAACCAACAATATTTTTTTAATAAACCGTTTAAATCATCCAAAAGTATATGCAGCAAAAGTTTCATGCCGTTATCTTTCTAAATAATTTCAAGTTTCATAAAACAGACTTAAAGTGACTAAAATGATCAATGATTTAGTAAAGATATAATGTACGATACTTTTTTACATACTTGCCATAATTTTGTTTTTTTAATAATTAGTATCTCGATAACTATTGTAAAGATCGCAAAATGGTAGAGAACTTTTCGATTCAGTTTAGTCCATTCTACCTACCCCACGGGCGCTTTATCATAAAGTACCGGACACCCTGTATATATACCAGATCGTACATAGTGTTTAACACAATTAAATTCGCGAGATAAGCTAATGAATCCTAGCTGAGGTAATATTTTTTGCAACAAAATTTCTTTACAGTAATTCTCGTGTCGTGTTGGGGGCAGGGAAGATTCTTAGGAGATAGCATCAGTAATATTAACTTATCAATTTAATATTGTGATATTACTATTTCTGATTTAATCAAGAACTACGTTGAAATCGAAAATAACGGCACGCAGTTTGTGGAATTAAAAAAATGTATATAAAATTATATGAAAATTTATTGAGCACCGAGCTTCTGTTATAACCGTTCATTGGCCTATCTCGTAAATTTAATTGTATTAAATTTAATATCATACAAATATATTTATTCTAAGAAAATTTACATTTTTTAAAGTATCTCTAAAAATCAGTACAAAAAATCTTAGCGGCACATACGTCTAATCGATGCAGTTATAGCTCTAAAGCGCTCTTAAGCAGGCTTTGGCGTTTCAATTAAAAAAAGAAATAAAAAATATTAATGTTTACCTGTGAGATATGAACAGATAAAGGTGCTCTGAGTCTTCCAGACCCAGTAGTAATTACATAAAAATTAAAGGTATAGTAATCTAAGGTTAAAAGTACTGATAAGCCACCATCAACTTCCCAGACAGCATAGAGACTCCAAAAACATAATTTTTTTTAATCCCCAAAATATAAAATGTATTCTTCTATTTTCCATCTCATTTCTAAAAATGTGTTGCAAAAAATTTCGCTTTTATGTCATTAATTCTGAATTCTTTTTCAGATTACAAAAGGTAATCTTTTTACCTAGTCTATAAAAATTCGCAGTAAAATAGTTTTTTTATAGCATCCCAGCAAACATAAATATACAAATAACTCTCAGGAATATTAAGTCTCATCTCTAAATTAATTCTTACGCAGAATTAAACGATTGTACTCTCTATCAAAATATATATACTTTATTTACTTTTATCTTAAGTCCTATTTTAAATGGCTTCAAGTCCTATTGTAGATGGTCCAAATAATTGAGTCTAAGGCATTATTTCATCAAAATTTGATTATATCACGGATAAAAAAATTTCATAATGCTGCGTCTATTATTTCAGCCAATATTACTTCTTTTTACGAAAAATAAAACTTTGTCTTGTTCATCTGTTGGCGATGTTGCGTACTATTCGCAAGTGAGCGATTCTTGTCGAATGCATTACGAACAGAAAAAAGACTTCTTTCAGAGCACAACTTTGATTTAATGCCTCAGAAGTCAAAAGATATATTTCTGGAATCCTTTTTGTATTACCGGAAAAAAATTCTTTTCGATTTCATAACGATTAGTTGTGCTGTTTGGGTTTTTATGAAAAATCATCTAAAATAAAAGAATGAAATAAAGAAACTGCTTGGCGCGCAAAATATCTGTAACGTTAGAATTTTATGCTAATTGATGTAAGTATTTTTAGATACAAGAATTCGCAATACGATCCTGGTGAAAAAATTCTCATATCTCATAATATTAGAAAAAATTTTCATATTTTAAATTTATAAACATTTCTAAAAAATCTTTAAGCTTCTTAAATTTTAGAAATTTTCTTTGGAAATTATAAAATAAAAAATCTTAGAATATTTCTTCAAAAAGTCCAGAAACGGTCGAATATTTCGAAAACAAAACATTTTTGAAAAAAATGTTTCAGACAAAAGTTGTAGAGTTTAAAAAGATCTATCTAGTAATCGCATCCGTTTGATCTTGGATTTGGGTGGCGTCTTTAAGGTCAGAGAAAGATCACTTTAAATTTTGTAAATGAAACCCCCCATTCTTTATTGCATATTCTTGTAGGTTATCTCGAGAGCTTTTCAAAACGCTATAATAAAATATTTTTCCATTAATCACTTTTCGAGTTATAAGGCTTGAAAGTTACAGTACCATCGGCATTAGCATTATCCAAGGTGTCCGAACAATGGCTAAAACCTTTTGAATGTTGTTCAGGATCATGAGCTTAACAACATATGGTCAAGGTCATGATCATTGGAGGTTGTTGATCTTATTTTCATTTTTGAAAATATACTTTAATTTTTTGAAAAATAGAAACAACCTCCAATAATCATGCGATCTTGACACATGTTGTCAAGCTAATGATCCTGAACAACATTCAAAAAATTTCAGCCATTATTCGGACACCTTAGATACTAATGCCGGCGGTATTCTGACATTTTACGCTCATAACTCAAAAAATACTTAATAAAAAATAACTTTACCATAGTGTTTTAGAAAGCTCTTGACATCAGCTATTAAATTCTGAAATCAAAAGTAAGGCATTAATTCATTTAAAAAAATCGATGTGATTACTAGATAGATCTTTTTAAATCCTACAACTTTTGTCTCAAATATATTTCTCAAAAATGTTTTGTTTTCGAGATATTCAACCGTTTCCGGACTTTTTGAAGACCCTGTATACGTACAAAACATAAAAGTTTGGCAATCAAGTTTTCTCGAAATTGATAAAATTCCTCATATACAGAGTTGATATACGAAACTGTAACAGAATCAAGAAGATTATTTTCTAGTAAATCAGGAGTATTATTGACGTTATTGTTATTGTCATTAAAAAAAGCAATTTTTAATTTGTTCTTTGTCATTGAAAATGTGAATTGTAATGGATAACATGCTATTATCGTCTTTGCTTTAGTTCTAGAAAGATCTGCAATTTGAATAAATTCTAACGTCTTTGTGGTGTCGTTTGCTTTTGCAGTTGTAAACGAATGTTAGCGAGAATACTGTGCTGAGTTTTAAACATAGTTACTGTTTACAAATTTTGTAAGCGATTTTAATCATAATTTTTGTCATATCTTGTATATGTTTTATTTTAGATAATACACTATATATACATATGCCCAGACAGCACACAGATATCCTATGGACATCCATAAGATGTTCTTGAAGGACAATGAGGATATTCATAAGCTATTCGTTTTAGGTCTTTCGGACATCCATGGGATATCTGTTTATGAAATTGGTGGACATACTAAGAATTTCTGACGTGTCCATAGGATATAAAAAATAAAAAATAACGATTAAATAAACGTTTATAAAATAAAAATAAAAATCATGAAACATTAAAAATAAACAAATTACGGAGTTTGCAAGGAGATTCCTCCAAAATTAATATTTAAATCTAACGGTCACCCATCCAAACCACAACTGCCCTCAATGTTGCTTAACTTCTGTGATCGGGAACTGCAGACACTTCGTGATGATTCATGATTTCTTGATGTTAATGAATACATATCCGTGATAGATCAGATCAATATAAAGTTATGAAAAAGATAAATATCTATTTTTTTTATAAATGTTAACATACAAAATAACATGATTGATAATCCAAATTACAATAAAATACAAATAAGTACAACATAATGTAAAACTGAATTGAATCAAGAAGCGATTAGCGTCTAATACCAAATGTATATAAACATTTTTTTTACATTTTTATAAAAAAATTATCCAAACAATAATTATATTATATTTCGTAGTTTTGAAAGAAAAATTTAATAAGATTTTATCATGGAATAGTTATTAACATTAATTAATATAATTTAAATAACTATTCAGCGAATGTAAATTTCTGTTTAATACATACATATGTATATATTAAGTCTGTCTCTTAT